GGAAGAAAAGGAAGGAAAGATTTGTATGCCTCCACCCACCTGAGGTAGTGCCAGAGGCATGCTATCTTTGGGTTGTCCGTCCTTCCGTATGTCCATCTGTTCTGCTTTCTCGTTACACAAGGTTCTATCCTTGGTCCTCTACTGTTTTTATGCCTCCGCCACCGAAGGTGGTGCCGGAGGCATCATGTTTTCGGGTTGTCCGTCCGTACGTCCGTACGTCCGTCCCGTTTGACCGTTATCACAATATCTCAAGAACCATTTTAGATTTAAACTTAAGACTCGGGAATAGTATTTATCACCATAGGAAGACGATCTGATTAGATTTTGGAGTACGTAGGTCAAAGGTCACAGGTCACAGAGGTCAACTTATGAAATTCCTTGTATTGAGTTTGTTAGCGCGATATCTCAAGAACCATTTGAGATTTAAACTTCAAACTTAAGGATAGTATGTATCACCATAGGAAGACGATCTGATTAGATTTTGGAGCACGTATGTCAAAGGTCAAGGGTCACAGAGGTCAACTTATGAAATTCCATACATTGAGATTGTTATCATGATATCTCAAGAACCACTGGAGATTTAAACTTCAAACTTAGTGATAGTGTGTATCACTATAGGAAAACAATCTGATTACATTTTGGAGCACGTAGGTCAAAGGTCAAGGGTCATAGAGGTCAACTTATGAAATTCCATACATTGAGATTGTTATCATGATATCTCAAGAACCACTGGAGATGTAAAAACTTCAAACTTAAGGATAGTATGTATCACCATAGGAAGACGATCTGATTAGATTTTGGAGCACGTAGGTCAAAGGTCAAGGGTCACAGAGGTCAACTTATGAAATTCCATACATTGAGATTGTTATCATAATATCTCAAGAACCACTGGAGATTTAAACTTCAAACTTAATGATAGTGTGTATCACCATAGGAAGACAATCTGATTAGATTTTGGAGCACGTAGGTCAAAGGTCAAGGGTCACAGAGGTCAACTTATGAAATTCCATACATTGAGATCGTTATCGCGATATCTCAAGAACCACTGGAGATTTAAACTTCAAACTTAATGATAGTGTGTATCACCATAGGAAGACAATCTGATTAGATGTTGGAGCACGTAGGTCAAAGGTCAAGGGTCACAGAGGTCAACTTACGAAATTCCATACATTGAGATTGTTATCATGATATCTCAAGAACCACTGGAGATTTAAACTCCAAACTTGTTTAAATTGCTCTATGGCGGAGGCATCATTTTCGACTGCGCGCAGTCAAAATTCCATCTAGTTTAATTTACATTAATGATCTTACACATTCAGCTGCACCTCGCAGTTAAATGAAAGGCCTTCCCGCGTGGGTTTTTTTAACACGGACCTTTTTTTTTTATAGGGCAAAAAAGAGGGGTGCGGTTAATACACGAGGGCGGTTCATACAACGTTAATTACGGAACTTCAAATTGGCTGAATCGGTAATGTCACTGTGATGTAGTGCCTGACAACTGTCCCATTTGTTCCAACACACAAAATTACTAAAATATATAGTTTTTATGCCTCCGCTACAAAGTAGCCAGAGGCATTATGTTTTCTGGTTGTCCGTCCGTCCTTCAAAGGTCATAGGGCTTATTATGTATGCAAAAAATAGCTTGTGAACACGTTATCTGAAGAACCGATTGATGGATTACCGCGAAACTTGGGCCATATATGTATCTTGGAGAGCCAATGAACTGATTAGATTTTGAGGTCGTGAGGCCAAAGGTCATGGGGATCATTATGTATGCAAAAATAGCTTGTGAACACATTGTCAATACCGACGGATGGGTTACTTTCAAACTTCAAAGGGTCATACATATAATATGAAAAATCGCTTGTAATCACGATATTCTGTGAACCTGTTAATGGATTACAATCGAACTTGAATGTTTAAAATTGCTCCTGTTTTGATTTGTAAAATCGCTCTATAGTGGAGGCATCCATTTCGACTGCGTGCAGTTGAACATCCATCTAGGTTCAAAATGTATGGCTCGGGAGGGTCTTTTCTCTTTAAAGGACCTAAATTAAACACTATCCATAACATATTTGGAGTACTGCCCCGAGGGTGAACAACTTACATTTAAGATATTTTTGTACACAACAAACGGAAGAGTGATCCACTGACAAAATTGCCAATTTGAGATTTTGCATAGCTTTAGTGATTTTCATATTTCAATCATTCATAGAAACTCTCTTATTATTGGTCAGATTTATTTCAAACTGTCGCCATTATGTTTCTCTTATTTTTCTGCTTTCATGCAAATGAATTACAAGGGTTGGATTACCCTTTAAAGGTATGAACTTTGAACTTGGTGATACATGTAGTATGTTTCACCATAGGAATTTAGACGGTCTGATTAGAATTGAGATTAAGTCGATCAAAGTCAAAGGTTATAGACATTAGCCTCGTTGTCACCGTATCTCAAGAACCAGAAGAGGTATGGGCTTCAAACCTGTTGATGTCACCATAGGACGACAATCCTACCAATAGGCCAGTTTCGTAATGTATTCACAGACCTTTAAATCGCATTACGTAATCGGAGGATCGATCAAACAAAGAACTTGCGGTGCATATAGCAGCCTGCACTTTATGTGCATACAATACATGACTGTGTTCGCTAGCTGTGATTGTATTGTTTGCTTTCGCTAGTTTGAGAGAGAGAGAGAACAAAAAGGAGGCAATTTCAAACTTGAATAATAAATATCTTTGAGATGTGATTTTGTTCATCATATATACATTTGATCTTTAAAATCACTAAGTTTTAGGCAAGAATAATGGGAAAGCAATGCTGTTACGGAACGTGCAATAGCGATTCACATCTTGCAGCCAAACCTGTTCGGCCAAGTCCCCGGTACAGGCAGCGCACGATACCCCCTCAAAAAAGAAGAAAATCAAGGTCGATGATACATGCGACATTGACTTGAAAGCCAGTGATGAAACAGAAAGCGAAGAACCAAAATATCAGTAAGCAGATATCGGTAATTTCCATTCAATATTGCATTTACCTTAGCTTGAAACTGAGTACAAATTTGGACGTAGAAATGAAAGAAGTGACAAACTATTCTCCACCCGTTCGCACACACAGTCACCTCTGCTTGTAGAAGAACGTGCGTACGCACGCATACCACGTGTTCATGTACGTGTAGACGCGATTCACATTTCATAATAAAACAAATTTACGGATTAAAAATGTTTGTGAAACGCCTCGATACAAACTATATCAAGGCGGACGAGAAATGGCTAACGAGAAGCAAGCAAAGTGACCACAGAATCAATATTATTAACAAACTTAATGAGAAATAATGATAATAAAGGTAATAATGATGACAGTATAGGGTCTATGTATTAATAAAATAATAATTATAAAATAATGTCGTCCAATGACAGAGAGCTAGAATAAGAATGATGAATAATGATAAAAAAATAATAATAGCTTAAGACAATCCTGCCCACTGTTTATAATTAATAATACCCCTTAAAATGAAGTAGGTAATAAACACTCCTTTGTATCCCCTTAACGCCCCTTCCTGGTCCCCTCCCGCCCCACTCGCCACTTACCACTAGCCCTTAAGCATCAAATCTATATGCCTTCCCTCTTCTCATCACCTTTAGACAATCCTGTCCACTTTTCATAAGAAAACCTCTTTAAACTAAGTAGATAATATACACTCATCCTTAACACCCATCTTGCGGGGCTCTCCCCCCCCCCTTCCTGCGCCTCCAGCTAGCCCCTACCTATCCAGGCTACATGACTATATGCCCTTTCTCTTTTCGCCACCCTTAGACACTCCTGCCCACTGTTAATAATTAATAAAAACCCAAATGAAGTAGGTAATAAACACTCCTTTTTATCCCCTTAAAGCCCCTTCATTTTTCTGCAGCTGTGTAAATGGCAAGAACATTGAATCTGCCCAGAGAAAAATGAACATATCCAGTGCCACAATTGACCCTGGATATTGAAATATACAGCTAGTTTAGAGAGCAAGACATGGTGAGGCATTTTGTCAAAGGCGTTTTAAAATATCAAGGAATACAGCATCTATTCTTGTTCGATGTCTCTTGTCTAGTGAAGTACTCCAGTTGAGTAATACATTAACAGATTGGGTCACACAACTTCTTCCTGCCGTAAACTCATGTTGGTTAGTACAAAGCAAACCATATGAATCAATGTGATTGTGCAAGGCAGATGCCAAAAATCATTTCAGTAGCTTACTGAGTAAGATTTGAAATTGGGTGACTCCTCATTTATTTATTCTTCTAAAATTTTATCTTTCAGTTGATAGAACGTCACCTGTTGCCACATGCCCTGCGCAACCCCTCTAGAGGGGAAACAATACAATGGGAATCCCTCTAGAGGGGAAACAATTTGCCATTGACTGAAGGAGGGGGGGGGGCATCTTTGCACCACATAATTCCTATTTAATTTACAACATAAATTCCAATTATCAAATATCAAATATCTTTTGGATTGGATTGGATTAGGAAGACATTTTAGAGCCTATGTTGCTATATACTGTTATACATAGCCATTCAGTTTTTTATAGCTCAATCAGTTGCATGATTGTGATATGTTTTTCATGTAGTTCTTTGCAAGACACATTTTCTGCCATTTTAAACTAAATGAATTAATACAATATTGCTATAATTTTACAATCCTAGTTCGTAATATAACTGATAATATATATGCTACCCACCGAATGTTAGTGTTATTTGGCATTGCTATATAACTCTAGAATCGTTTGAGGCCATAACTTTATTTGAGGTATAATTAGCAGCTCTTTGACAGCTCTGGGGATAATACAACTAAATGTTAAACTTCCAGAAAACTTTGGGTCTCATTACCTAGAAAATGTAGGAAGGACATTACCTATTGACACATGTATGAAGGTAAAAATGTGAAAATCTTGTGATGAGGTTTGAAATTAGTCTGATTCCTCGTACATTTATTCTTCCCAAATGTTATCTATCAGTTGATAGAACGCCACTTGTTGCCACATGCCCTGCGGATATCCTGCGGGAGGTTGGATTAAGTCAAACGAGGATTCAAGTCTTCTTTACTGCACCTACTGCAATAGACAACAGTGGACTAGTCCCGACAATTACTTCTCAATCTCATGCAACAACGGATTTCTTTGACCTTGGTAACACCCAAGTTACCTGGACCTTTGCTGATGCCAATGGAAATCAAGATTCTTGCAGCTTCAATGTCATTATTGTACAAGGTCAGTATTACTGAAATTATGCTTATTTGAGTTAATGACGTAAACCTGCATGGATTTTCCTCAGAAATGAAAAAAAAATCCTTTTGTAACTGCAAAATATCTGTATTATCGGTTTTCACTGACGTTTCTGCAGCTTTGTAGATGGCAAGGACAACATTAAGGTAATACAGCTTTGTTTGTCATACAGGTCAGTTTTACTTGGGAAATAAAGTTTGATTTAAGAATTGAATGTAAAGACATCAACCAAAAAAATAAATGATATCCTTTATAAATATAGAATAGAACATCTAATGATCATCTCTTTTTTTAATAGTTAATTTGTAGTGGGCGCAGTTGACGTGATAGTTGCTGTTGTTGTTGTAGTTGTCAAGGTAGAGTGGTAGCCATTTTCCTGTACTGATGTTTCCAAGTACTTCATGCATAAAGATTAAACAAGAAAATATTATTGATGCATCAACTAAATCAAAACATACACGAGCATAAAGATAACTATCAAGTATCTGACCGAGGCTGTTTTAACACAAACCCGGTCTAAAGTTCATGTTCTGTCACTCTGATATGATGTTGCTATCATCGATGCCATCACCGATGGCACGGAGAGGGTGAGTCTGGTATGGACTGCTAAATCGTCTTGGATTGTCCCTCGCTGTCAGTCAAAATCCCCCTTCTGAAACCATTGAAAGGGTTCGAGATCATGACGACAAAATAGTGCATCCGGAGTCAGTGAAGTAGAGTCTGTACTTTTTTGTTTCACGTCGTTATAAACAGCCTCTGTAACAATAATAACAAAAGTTGAACAAAATATTTAAATCCTGGTGAACTCACATACTGTAAATGGAACAATTATATTGATACCAACAGAACAAATATTTATTCATTGACATTGTTTTTGTAATATCATGCAACTATATCTCAATCAATCCATTTATTATTATACAAAATAAATTACACTGATTGTTTTCTTCTTCTGTCCACTATCATGAACTATATGGTACAATATTATAGTATTGATTCATTCACATATATAATCATACAGCAACATAACACAGTAACTTCAACTCACCGGCCAATACTAGCCAAAATGCTAAACAATAGTGACTGTATGCATGCTACCAAGTATCATATCCACAGCTCGTAGAATTACAGCACACCTAGAAATAAGATCAAATGGCATATCTTACTAACAAATAATGACATACATAAAGGGAAGCTTATACTCATCAAAGTTGTAAGGATAAATTGTTCAATTTAACACAATATACATGTACTGCAATTCCTTCATATCATGTAACAAAATAAATGACAAGAGTATTTCAACAGAGCATCATTGTTCCCATGCAAATACAGTGCAAGACATGTTTCAAATATACTGATCTTACTTTCACCATCAAAACTCTCATTAGTAATGCTTATAGGTACATGTACATGTATATATCATCATTCAAATTAAAGTTTAATGAAATACAATCGTAATTATTAACAATCCAACTTACTTTAAACAAAGTCTGACCACATTTCCTCCTACAGCAGGCCAAATGTACATATGTGCTTGCAGTCCTCATAACAGAGCTTAGAATGGCTGCCTGCCTGCTATAGCATGCACCAATGCTAGAAATCACACAAAAGAAAAGCACTCATGCAAAGAGTTCAATAGAATCCTTATAGGGGGTACTCCAATTGAGTAATAGAGATACCCCCAAAAAGGCGAGAAACAATACAATGGGAACCCGTCTAGAGGGGAAACAATACAATGGGAATCCCTCTTGAGGGGAAACAATTTGTCATTGACTGAAAAAGCAGGGGGGGCATCTTTGCACCACATAATTCCTATTTAATTTACAACATAAATTCCAATTTACAATATTAGGAAGACATTTTAGAGCCTATGTTGCTATATACTGTTATATATAGCCATTCAGTTTTTTTATAGCTCAATCAGTTGCATGATTGTGATATTTTTTTTCATGTAGTTCTTTGCAAGACACATTTTCTGCCATTTTAAACTAAATGAATTAATACAATATTGCTATAATTTTCTGCCATTTTAAACTAAATGAATTAATACAATATTGCTATAATTTTACAATCCTGGTTCGTAATATAACTGATAATATATATGCTACCCACCGAGTGTTATTTGTCATTGCTATATAACTCTAGAATCGGTTGAGGCCATAACTTTATTTGAGGTATAATTAGCAGCTCTTTGATAGCTCTGGGGATAATACAACTAAAATGTTAAGCTTCCAGAAAACTTTGGGTCTCATTACCTAGAAAATGTAGGAAGGACATTTCCTATGGACACATGCATGAAGGTAAAAATGTGAAAATCTTGTGATGAGATTTGAAATTAGTCTGATTCCTCGTACATTTATTCTTCCCAAATGTGATCTTTCAGTTGATAGAACGCCACCTGTTGCCACATGCCCTGCAGATATCCTGCGGGAGGTTGGATTAAGTCAAACTAGGATTCAAGTCTTCTTTACTGCACCTACTGCAATAGACAACAGTGGACTAGTCCTGACAATTACTTCTCAATCTCATGCAACAACAGATTTCTTTGACCTTGGTAACACCCAAGTTACCTGGACCTTTGCTGATGCCAATGGAAATCAAGATTCTTGCAGCTTCAATGTCATTATTGTACAAGGTCAGTATTACTGAAATTATGCTTATTTGAGTTAATGACGTAAACCTGCATGGATTTTCCTCAGAAATGAAAAAAAAATCCTTTTGTAACTGCAAAATATTTGTATTATAGGTTTACACTGACGTTTCTGCTGCTTTGTAGATGGCAAGGCGACATTAAGGTAATTGCAACTTTGTTTGTCATACAGGTCAGTTTTACTTGGGAAATAAAGTTTGATTTAAGAATTAAATATAAAGACATCAACCTAAAAAATAAGTGATATCCTTCATAAATATAGAATAAAACATCTAATGATCATCTCATTTTTAATAGTTAATTTGATCAAAAAAACTAAAAGTTTGATTCTTTTGCAGAAGAATCAACTGGTATATCTCTACCATTTTATGTTTCAATCCTGTAGTGTTGGAAGTGTGCATTTACAAGCTTGTATACATGTACATGAACTGTGTCGTAGATTATAGAACTGAAAAAGTTGAATGTGGTTATAACTTGGGAAGACATTAAGAGTCACTGTTGCTATAAATACATGGCCGATTTTAGACTCTTTTGGGTGTCAATTTAAAGTACATCAATACTGTATTACTACATTCTTGGAGCCTGGTTCCTGATATTCTACCTATTAAATTACAGTGTTTATCTATAAAATGTATGTGTCATCACAATAGCGCCATTCAATGAAATAGGTTGGTTAGTTTGGGGGATAATAAGACCAATAGTGAATAGTGAATATTAAGTTGATGAAACAGTTCATGTAGAACACAAGCACGTGAGCAGGTACAAATACAGACATTTTTCGATGACATTTAAAAATTTGTCCAACTTCTTATACCTGTGTACCAAAATGTGGAATAATATTTCTAATAATCAGCTGCATTTAATGAAATAGTATTTGGATATGAAAAACTCTTCTTTGGTTCTTTTGATGAACAGTATCTTCTTACTTTTTACTCTGTTCATTCTTCGAGCTGTCATGATTAGCGTCGTTTAGTGTTTTTGACCTTTTTATACATCGATCCATTCATCAAGATTAAATTCTGGAGGCCTTCATCTGTATAATGCATGCTTGCATTATATTAATTGTAGCATAGATTATAATTTTACATATTTTGATTTTTCTTACATTTAAACTTAGGAAGATATTTTAGAGCCTACGGTATGTTGTTATATACGCATAGTCATTCAGTTTTTGTATAGCTCAATCAGTTGCATGATTGTGATATGTTTTTCATGTAGTTCTTTGCAAGACACATTTTCTGCCATTTTAAACTAAATTAATTAATACAATATTGCTACAATCTTAGAATCCTAGTTCCTAATATAACTGATAATATATGTGTATATGCTACCCACCGAATGTTAGTGTTATTTGTCATTGCTATATAACTCTAGAATCGTTTGAGGCCATAACTTTATTTGAGGTATAATTAGCAGCTCTTTGATAGCTCTGGGGATAATACAACTAAATGTTAAGCTTCCAGAAAACTGTAGGTCTCATTACCGAGAAAATGTAGGGAAGGACATTTCCTATGGACACATGTATGAAGGTAAAAATGTGAAAATCTTGTGATGAGATTAGAACTTAGTCTGACTCCTCGTACATTTATTCTTCCCAAATGTTATCACCTTGTATATCTCTACCATTTTATGTTTGAATCCTGTAGTGTTGTAAGTATTCTTTATAAGCTTGCAGACATGTATATGAACTGTGTCATAGATTATAGAACTGAAAAAGTTGAATGTGGTTATAACTTGGGAAGACATTAAGAGTAACTGTTGCTATACATGGCCGATTTTAGACTCTTTTGGGTGTCAATTTAAAGTACATCAATACTGTATTACTACATTCTTGGAGCCTGGTTCCTGATATTTTACCTATTAAATTACAGTGTTTATCTATAAAATGTATGTGTCATCACAATAGCGCCATTCATTGAAATAGGTTGGTTAGTTTTGGGGATAATAAGACCAATAGTGAATAGTGAATATCTAGTTGATGAAACAGTTCATGGAGAACACAAGCATGTGAAGCACGCTCCTTATCGGCAGAGTCCAGCAGCCTAACATGTACGTTAGCCTATGGACTTTTACCCCCCAAAATCGTTAAAAATTCATTTTTTGTTTAAACATATCCAACCCGACATACGTTATCACTAGCTTTTTCTTTGGAACCCTCATGTCCCATCAAATTTTGAAAGTTCATCCACCGTAATTTGATCGAAATAGGTCACAAGCTCGCCTATTTAATTGCCTATATAACACATGTACAACAAGTCAAACTTTGGACTCAATTTACCACACAATTGTAAAGTTATAAGTCAAGCACACGAGGGATAAGAAGCATGAATTATCATAGATCAGTTCTGATTTGTTCATTATGTCCATTTCATCCAACCCCCACCGTAATTTTTCCACTTAGTATAGGCAAGCATTTTGCCGAGGTAAGCAAAAACATGAATATTCATGAACACCATGGACTATTCGATTATTAACAGAGGGGTGCAATTGTGCACCAATTCAAACTCCCCTACTTTCAGTCGAGTATTTCATTGTATTATGTAGTTTGGTAGGGTTATTTTACTAACTGTTTAATTATCAGATATCAATGATAGTTTAAAGATATGGAAAAGATTCTTGTATTTTATATTTAGCTAAGCAATCTCACATACAAAATCACTATCAAGTGTCGTCTGATCCGCGGATTGCCGTCTGCTATAGACGCGAACTAGCTATGTTTGTGCTGGCGAAAATGAAACAACCGGAGCAATATGCTCTTGCCGAACCTGCCAGATCATGCTGCAAAAGCTCAGCTCCTGCCGAACCTGCCAGGGTGCGCTGCCAAAGTTTGGCTCCTGCCGAACTTGCCAGAGCACGCCAAGGTTTGGCTCCTGACGAACCTGCAAGACCACCCTGCCAAAGTTCGGCTCCTGCCGAACCTGACAGATCATGCTGCAAAAGCATGGCTTCTGCCAAACTAGCAAGACAAAGCAGCCAATTCTCGGCTCCTACCGAACCTGCAAGACCACGCTGCCAGAGCATGCCAAGGTTTGGCTTCTGCCGAACCTGCAAGACAATGCCAAGTTTGGCTTCTGCCAAACTAGCAAGACAAAGCTGCAAAAGTTTGGCTTCTGCCGAACCTGCCAGAACACGCCGCAAAAGTCTGGCTCCTACCGAACCTGCAAGACCATGCTACCAAAGCTCGAACCTGCCTGAGCATGCCAAGGTTTGGCTTCTGCCGAACCTGCAAGACAACGCCAAGTTTGGCTTCTGCCAAACTAGCAAGACAAAGCTGCAAAAGTTTGGCTTCTGCCGAACCTGCCAGAACATGCCGCCAAAGTCTGGCTTCCGCCGAACCTGCCAGACCACGCCAAGGTTTGGCTTCTGCCGAACCTGCCAGAGCACGCCAAAGTTTGGCTCCTGCCGAACTTGCCAGAGCATGCCAAGGTTTAGCTTCTGCCAAACTAGCAAGCCAAAGCTGCCAAAGCTCGGCTCCTGCCAAACCTGCAAGACCATGCTACCAAAGCTCGGCTCCTGTCGAACCTGCCAGAGCATGCCAAGGTTAAGCCTTTAAATCAAGGCCACATGTCTGATAGACGCCGAGCAACTAAAACAAGACTAATCGCGAAAACCCGAGTGAACGACAGAGCGAGTAGCGCATCCAAGTAGCCTTTGTCAATCCAGGTGGGATTTCTTATGTTAACCTTTGTTTCCGACTGGAATTCTCTACCAAAATGGAAGCATCCAATCAGCTAACGTATATTCGCATGTAGTTAGGATATAGTATCCATCACACACACACACAGTAAACTTTACGTAGTACGAACCTGGACCTACCATGAACTAAGAATAATGTACAGGCTAAGACCACTGACCTCTACATGGAACGAAAACGAGTTAGACTGGTTCATTTCATATACAGGGAAAGTCCAATTATCTCACTTATGTTTGTTAGCATAAGTCATCAAATGCTTCCTATTTTTTATTGTAATTTTGCATGTAAAATAGATTTGAATGTGATAATTTGTATCTATCATTTATATGTTCATCTCATAAGCAAAACTTATTTACGTCGTTTACCTTTTCTTACATGTTTTGGTAATGAACGAATCACGAACGAAGCCAACTGGGAGATGGCCGCTCTGATTGGTCAATAAATCCAAAGTAATGAATAATTCATGCAGAGCAGTAAAGCCTAGATTGCAAAAGGCCTCATGGCTACCGCCATTCGATCGCGCGTTCACAATGGGTCTCTAGATTCATCTCACCCGCTGATTTGGGTGGAAAATAGCCAGAGTCACGAGGCCTTGTCAAAAGGCTAGCCAAGGTTTGGCTTCTGCCGAACCTGCAAGAGCACGCCGCCAAAGTTTGGCTCCTACCGAACCAACAGATCAATCCTAAGTTCGGCTTCTGCCGAAACTGCAAGACCACGCTGCCAAAGCTCGACTCCTGCCGAACCTGCAAGACCAGCATGCTGCCAACGTAAGGTTGGATTTCCCTTTAAACTTTAATGTAGCATCTTCGTGAGAGGGTTTTTTAATGTTAAAGGGATAGTTGAGTTCTGTTGCAGAGGGCGCTACACAAAATATTTTTTTTGTGAGATAATGAGAAACTGAGTATCAAATTTGATAGAACATAATATTTAAATGACAAAATCATTTTTGTTTGATCAAAATCGGTTCAGAGACGGCTGAAATTTAATGATTTCTAATACTTGTGTACCACCACGAATATTAGATATTTTGAAAAATTTGAAAAAAACCATTGAAAAAACGAAATAATGCCTTTTACGTCGCATTTCAGCCAATGCCGATTTTGGCTTTTTTGTTGGCATTTTCGTGTTGCTTATATTACGTACAACCAGCTGGCACATGTTTTGTGAGATAATCAGAATCATAATCATAATCAGATCCACCTCTGGGAAGAAATGTTTAATTTTACTCCGGTGTTACATGAAACCTTCTTACATAATCGTGTATCATAGGATTTCTATGTCAGACGGTCAT